GCCCTCCTCTCCAGAAACTGCCAATCCTCTCAGCCCAAAACACCCTGGAGCCTGAAACTTCCCTTGGGACCTTGGGAAAGCTGCAGAGAAGCTCCAATGCCCCCCCCACCTCCCCTCATTAGAAGCGTACTGTGCAGACAGCAAGCTGCCTTCCCCTCAGCGAGAGCCCCTCGGTCTCTCCTGCCCTCTCGTACCAGCAACACGGATCCCCAGCCAGGGCTGCTCTCCAGGGTTCTTCTGGCCTGCTTCAGAGACGCTGCCGGCTGGGGCCTGGGGCTGGGCCCTTCTGCAGGGAATGCAGGCGCTCCTCCGTTCCTCAGCCTTCCTTCCAAAGGAACGTGTTCAGGAGGACAGAGTGGAAGTTGCACAGACTGAGAACCCATCCTCCTGGTTTGTAAAAGCCAAGACCTTTCACCTCGTCTTAGCACTGATCGTTGGGGCAGATCAGAACTGGACACAATCATTCTCAGGCAACAGCAGAATATAGTAACAGCCACCCTCTTGTTTTCCAGTATTGCTGCTTTTCCATTTGTTCCTTCCCAGCGAGGGTTATCACCTTGTTAATTTTTGTTCTTCTAAACCTTTCATTAAGATTTTTGGCTTACAGAGATTTTAAGATTGTCCAAGACTCTTTTACAGCAATCTTCTGCACTGTAAAGTTTCTTATTGTTCTTTGCCTGAAGAGATGTCATTAAAAATCTTGATGCACTCACTTTATTCCCCTAGAGCCACATATAAAAACCAGGAAGTCCTATTTGATCTTATTATTTATCTATCAATATAGCTTGAAGCACTCAACTTGCTCCACAGACCTTCAACAATTTAAAAACAAATGGCTCATTAATGAAACCATTTAGCTAATAGCAGCTGGCTCTGGAAGTATGAAGCAGATGTGGTTCAGATTTCGGTCAGTTCAAGAAGTTTTGACAAATCTAATTCTGCAATATGTTTGCATGAATAATTGTTCTCATTTCCAAGAGGCATGTTGGCTTTAAGCGGCTCTTCTTAATTCTATAAACTGACCTTGTGAAACTCAACACCAAATGCTCACATTGGAAGGGGCTGCGTTTTTCCAGGAATTGTAATATATTGGACACCAGATTACGGAACACTTGGCTCCTTTGCTCCAAGTTCAAGAAATGCAAAATTCCAATGAAAAGAAAAACTGGGATTTAAGCGGGTAATCCCCCCCGCCCGCCCGGACTCCCCAAGTGCATCCTCAGACACCTTCAGTCTTCACTGAAATCCAGCAACAAAGGCTGGGCTGGGCAGCCTTAGGGAGTTACTCTCAAGTCTCCTTTTTGCCACAGCAAAAATGGGAACAACTGTGATCTTCTCATCCCAAGGTATTTCTGAAAACTGTGCCTTCTATGGAGGCAGGCCAGGAGACATGGGGTTTCATCGCGCCCACACCAGCCAGCAGCCTCTCCAACCGAAGAGGCTTAAAAACTTAAGAACCACCAGAAGGGTCCTTCCTTGCATGAAAATTGCTTTAAAACTGCCTAACCCTTGAAGGTGTCTGGCCTTCATGCAATGCTCCAGGCTCTCCATTTCCAGGAATCCTCTATATGTCAGGTTTGTACACCAGAAGAGTCATCTGTGCAGGTCAACCAAAGAGGAGTACGAGTCCCCTTCCGCATGTACCAGTCGGTGGCCTGGAGGGGACAGACAGCGTGGCAGAGAGCTCCCCCATCTGCAGGCTTGGGGCTCGCAGGGGAGAGGAAATGAGCAAAAGAATTCAGATGCAAACTGACTATTGAGCACATGAGCCAGTAAATTACCACAGCTGCTAGTCCAAAAAGGGGGGATTACTGCACACCCCATGAGACTAAGACATCAAAGTTTTGTGATTAATACTGACAAACTAGTTTCCTTTTTAAAAGCACTTGGTCAGGCCTCTGGGAGAGTTTATTGCAATCAATGAAAATCTTTATGATTCAAATAAAAGAAAAGGAAGAAAGGGGAAACGCACCAGGCTTTAGTGCTGATAAGTAGAAAACAGCCTGGCTAAGGTATGGCTGTTGATGGCAAACTTATATATATATAATTTAATTACTTTCCCTTTAGAGTTCTAAGCTTCCATTAATTTCATTTATTGAGACAGTATTTTTGGTCATATCTGCACATGGCTTTCCCAAGGGCAATGCACACAGCAGTCTCATCACAACGTCTTCTTTACCTGCATTATTAAATTAAAGGTTAACAATAATTCCATTTTCTGCAGCTCTTCTGGAACTCTTTTCTCAAGTTGTTCCACTTACTACCTACATCACAAAAGACTGAACTTCTACAACTGGAGTCTAGAGGGTGTGCATGCACTTCAGGAAGCAAAGCCAAAAATGCATTCCAGCTGACATTAACCGAAAAACACTGCCGGCCACATGCCATTAATCAAAGGCTAACACACCCAATCTGGTGGATCTTGAGAACAATTCACACCTCATATTGCTCAGCTACACCTACAAAGCATATGTGTGCATGAGTGCATAGACACACGGCCACCTATGGCTGCAAACAACAGGCTCCTGTTACAATCCCTCCAATGTGCAACTGAGAAACCTCCCTTAAGAAAGTGCTACTCAAAGCTAAACTGTTCCAAATTCCAAAGGATTGGCAGGGTATGGGAAGATCCTTGGGAAAGTTACTTTTTGGTCTACAATTTCCAGAATCCCTCAGTTATGCTAGATGGGAGTTTGCGAAATTGCAATCCTCAAGAGTAACTTCCCAAGTTCTGGGGGACAGGAATGGGAGAGTGGAACCAGTGGAGCAGAAAACTCTTCCACGCACCTCTGCGATGGGTACCCACATTGAGTCTTCTCCAGAGGCAGGAGGGCTAGCACTGCTCCCACACCAACCACCAGGTAAAGGAGGCTGTCTGACGATAGCCAGCTCCACGACAAAGTGCCGCAACCCTTGAATACCAGTCTCTCCATGCAACACACACTGTTTAGCTAGACAGATGACATTGCAGAGTGTCTTTGGGGCTTCTGAAGAGGTGGACGATATTCCACAAAAGTTCCCATTGAAATATAGCAGTTATCCTTTAAGGTGCCACAACATTTTTGTCTTCTTTATTTATTTATTTTAATTTTTTGGTTCTGCCTGACATTCTTCAAGCAAAGAAGGCCAGGATTGCGCTGAGAGTGCAGGACAAACCAGGACCCCTTTCCTACTGGCCAATCTTACACTGGTGATACATGGAGCAAAGCATCATTTTGTCAGGGAAGGAATGATCTTCTGAAAGAGAACTCTTGTTCCTTCCTTCCGTGAAGCTGGCTGGAAAAGGTCAGGCAGGCAGAGTGTCAAGTTCTGTGCATAAATTTGAGACTCTGTGAATTGTGGCAGGACACAAGCTCTCCCAAAGAAGTCTGGTGATACAATTAGTCAAAAGTTATGCAGTTTAATTGCTCAAGTTCTGGTGAGAAAAGAGATACACTGGCAAGCTTTGAAAGGTTGTAGAAGCAAGAGTCTTGCTTTTTCAACATCAAGAAAATGATAAACTATCCCTGTTCTTCAGCCAGGTACATATTAGCAACAAGTCAGGATGAGCAAAAAAGTTGTGACACTTCATGGCAAAGGATATGACTCTTGCACACCAGTGTGAAAGTAACTGCACAGAGGCTGAAAGCCCATTTTTTGTGCAGGCTGATGAAGTGCTGCTTGAGAAATGGTAAGCTTACTGGGCATGCAGACGCAGCGGCATCATACTATGGATCATGGCCAACAGGCTTGGAACCTGAGCTTGATTCTGCCCCAACACAGAATTTCTAATACATCAAAAAAAGCAGGGTGGCTACAGCAGAGGGCCATATGGAGCCATCCTGCAGTGAAAAGGTGATAGCACTGTCATCTTTCACACACTAGAAGCTGTGATCATCCTTGAAAGGGAAGATAATCTTGGAGCCAGAGGAAAAGGCTGATAGACTAGACTTCAAGTCTTAATAGTCTCTACTTCCGACAGGTGCTCACAATTCAACAGAGCCATTCACACTTGCGGCTTCTGTTGCAAAAGGACAACATTGTAAGCCGCCTAGAGTGGTCGAATAAGACCAGATAGGTGGGATAGAAATCAAATAAATAAATAAATAATAAACATGGCTACACTTCCCATTTTTACACACACACACACACACACACACACATACACACACACCTCATTTTATGGAAGGAAAAGCCATACAGTTCTCGGCTGGCTCATAACTCCAAGATGAAACACAACTCCTTTCATTATATTAATTTAGCTAGCAAAATACAAACCCCAGTACCATAGTAAAGAAACAGAGACTAAACCATAGATGATAAGGCTAAATTATTAATTGCCACAACTATCTTTATGTATGAGTTATAAAGTTGCTGTTTTTAAAAAGAAGCACATGAAGGCCGAAATACAGTGGCCCTTTAATACATGTGCATGTACACGTGGGTGTTTTTAGGGCAACACTGAGCACACCAATTTCTTAATGAGCATAGATTCTGCTTCTGTTAATCACAGGAGGAAGGGATGCAGAAACCATCAGGAGGTGCCAAAACTTGCCTTCCAAATCCTGCCTGCCCTCCTAGGCTTTCTCTGACTTCAAGGATGCCACTAAGTATTGCATGCACACTGCCAACCACAAGAAGCTTGCTGTAAAACACAAATGCTGTTCCTCTCAGGACACTAAATTCTTTCTTCAAAGATCCCTGAACTTCTAAAAAAAGGAGCTAGGACATTCCATCTGTAACGTAACCTACATAAGCTCCCACAGTCTCTTATTCACACGGGCTGGGGGATTCTGGAACTTGTCCTCTGAAAAACTCTGGCACAGGTTAAGTCAAGAAGGTATAGAGCAAGAACCCCAAAAGAACCACAAAGCAAGCAGCTTTGTGGTTCCTCTGTTTTTCTTCTTCTGAACTGAACATCAGGCTCCTGACAGCTACCCAGAAAGGTACCCATTTTCCCCCATGCTCCAGAAGGATGCCCTGGAGACCTCACATGGGTTTTTCACACCCCTTTGCCTTACCATCTCACTTTGTTGCAGGTCTGGGTTGCACCGAGGGGTGAGCCGGCCACCATCGGGACCTGGATGGGGCTGTGCTGCTTGTTCATTACCAGGTCCAACTTCTCTTCCAGCGATTTGCAAGTGGCATCAAGAGCAAGAAGCTTGGCTTCAATGCTATCCAACCGCAGACAGATTGTCTGGTTGATGGAATACAGGAATGACTGGGAAGGAGAAAAAACAAATAAGACTGCGGTTCTTCTGTTTTACAACTTACAAAACTACCTGAAAAGATCATGCACACATTCAGATCCTTCAGACCATCCAGACAATAAATGCAATTGTTGGCAAACTGATGCTATCACAACATGGGTCAAGCCTGGCCTGCATCTCTCAATTTAGCAGACTCTATCTTTGGGCTTATCTTTCACTCGTGGTGCGATGGAACAGTGCAGACCTCCCCAGCTTTTCCTCTGAGAGGAGAGAAGCAGAAGAGTTACCCATTTATTTAAAAAATGGGTGTTCTGCAGGATAAACTGTATTTTTAAAAAAAATATTACACTATGCAAACGAACAGAATAATGACAGAGACAAGGAGGCTCAGCCTTTGAGACTAAATGACAGGATCTCCTTCTAAAGGCCGAGACCGTCCCGTTAGTCCAAAGAAGAAATCTGGAGCCCCTTCCCTCTTTCTATTGGATTACTGGGGACTCAAGAAAAGCCCTTTTTTGCAGCTGAAGAACCCTCCTTGGTCATTTTCAGATGGGCAGGAAGGAACATCCTGTTCCGTTAAGACTTTGCATGGGAGACACGGAAGAGCCTCCACAAAGAATGGGAGGACCGTGGACACATTTAGGCAGCCCCACGCAAGAACAGCACCTGTTGGCAGTTTTTCCCCACGCTGCTCCAGGAGCACCACTGGACGGCTTCTGGCACGAACAAAGAAGCAGCACATGACTTTGTATATTTTATGTGTTTCTTTTTTTTTCAAGAGTTCTTGCTCACATTGAGAGCCTACCCCTCCATAGGAAGCACCACCTCTGCAGATGCAACGCTGCCCATGAGGAGAAAGCAATGGTTCGGGGGGGGGGGCTCAGCCCTCTTTCCCAAATTTGCTGCTGAGAACCCAGCAAGTAATGTCAACATGCAAAAATGAATGTTCTTGGTTTTTTCTTTGTTATTCTGTGCCTTTCCTCACACTGTAATTTTATCTGCTGTTCTAGTTTGCTGCTGTTTTACACCCGTATTAAGCCTCTATGGATGCTTTTGGAAACAAACTGCAAAGGAGATCTATAAATACAGTACTGTATGTATTCTGAAATAACTCAAGTTTATTAGTGTACTCCTTTTCTGTTCTCAAAGCAGCATGCTGAAAGGAATGACTACAGAGGAATATTTAGGAAGAGCGCTTCCCCTCCTTCTGATAAGAGAGACATTCTGCTCTCATTTACATTTAACTTCCTCAAGAAACCTCTGGAGTGCCATCTAGTGGGCTTAAGTTGAAAACAGCACAGAAGAAGAAAATTAGCTGAAATGTACCGTATTTTTCGCACCATAATAGAGGAATACAGTATTTAGGAAGAGCGCTTCCCCTCCTTCTGATAAGAGAGACATTCTGCTCTCATTTACATTTAACTTCCTCAAGAAACCTCTGGAATGCCATCTAGCGGGCTTAAGTTGAAAACAGCAGAGAAGAAGAAAATTATATTGTGGTAACACCTTTACTAGGTTAACCAATACACATTAAAAATCTGTGCATGATTTCACAATCACAAATTCCTTTGTCAGGCAAAATGCACCCCCCCCCCAAAAAAAGGAAGGAACTCAGTGTTGAAGTTATAAAGTTGAAGGTACAAAATGAAAACACAGATGTAGGAATGCTTAAATGTAGAAAATCATTCTCTGTTAAAGATCCTGTTTTCCACACACACATCCAACCTTGCCTTGAAGGCATCACTAAGCAACCTGCTTGGTCTCAGGTTTGACGTTTCCCACTGCTTACCTGCATTGTGTTTAGCCCATTTGAGCAAACGTGCATTATTTTCTTTTTTAAAATGTGTCATTTTTTATTATTTTACATGTGTGTTATTGTGAACCCTATTAGTCACATCAAACTCCTACAGAGCATTAATAGGCTATAAATCAAATGAACAACAAACAACAAAACAACCATCTGAACCCACAGTAAGAGCTCAAGCAAACTATAAAAACTGGTCCTTGAAATATCCTTGATGAATCCAAATTGCTCGTCAGCCCATAAACCAGTAGTTTGTGCCAGCATCATAAAGCCAATATATGAGGACACCAAATTTGGGCAAAATTCATGGATTCTTGCTCCCTGATCAACACCTTACAAGTTCAGGGGAAAAGAAGGTTCATTACAGCCCACTATTACCATAACATTACAGTGCTAACTTTTAAACAATGGAACACCAGCCACAAGTAGACTAAAAATTAAGGCCTAAATCAGCCATACTAAGGCAGTTCAGAAGTCTAAATCACAGCAAGTCGCTCCGTATATACAGTCTTCGGTCCTATATTCATGTTATATATGCTACCAAAGGCCCACAGTCAATATGTACTGTAACCCTTCAGCACCATCAGGTAACTTGAATAGTCCATCAAGCGCTAGCGGTCTATTATGAACAATCACAGCAAGAGAGCCACAACCTTAATCGAGGGATCCTGGCAATTAATTTCTATCCGTTGCCGTTTTAAAGGTGGATCTATGTCTTCATCGTTCACTTCATGGTTTTCCAAAACAGCTGCAGAACAGAAACAAAACAAACCCTTTTTAGAACGGCTGTAACTGTGTCTTGGGTGGGGAGGCAATTTGAAAATGACAAGGCACCTAAAGCCTAAATATCCTCCTCCAAGGAATTATTCCCATGAGAGAGAAGGTGGGGAAATGTCAGGGCCCAGAACAGTTTCCCAACTGGAGCGACTGAATCCCTGAAAGTATTTCCTGGAAAGAAATGCTTCCTCAAGAGGGCAGCTTGTCGTTGTCCCCCCCCCCCGCACCTGGCCTGCCCATCCTCTTCAGAGGGGGGCCCTCCTCCAAGAGTACTTTTCCTAAGCCTATTCTCTGATTCCTGGCCATTATCGGTACCTCCGTCTGTTTCTGTCCCACGGGTTTGGAAGACAGGGATGGGGGCTGAATCAAAAATTGACTGCCGGGATTCCCTAGGGGGACCCGGGCACAACTCAGGGAAAGGTTGGGAAGGACTTTTTGGACTACACCTCCCAGAATCCCCTAGCCAGATTGACTTGATTGGCACACTTATTATTTGCTAGATGAATTTGAATAGGTTTGTCAAGGATTGTTTGGGGGGAGGGAGGGAATAATCCCAGCTGTGAGGGACACGGGCTTCTGATCCTTTCCCTGGAGGTCTATAAAGTTTTGATGGACTTTTAGGGAGGGTTCAGGGGTCGGTTTATCCGCTGTGACAGATAAGTGCTGGCTGCCTTGCTATGAGGCAGTACAGTCCAAAAATTTACAAAATAATTACAAAACTTTTCCAAGCTCTGCCTAGAAGCTGAGAGGAGAGGCCGGGAGCTCAGGAACTGGACGCAGCCTTGCCTCCAGCAGATGGAGATTTTATTCCTCCCCATTCTCCCAATGATGTAAATGGGGAAAGGCCAAGAGGTACTCTAAAGAAACCGATTTACAGCCCACAGCCACATGCAGGGGGTCGCTGCTACCGCTGCGGCCCCCGCCTTTGTTTATCTTTGTATCACCCTTCCCACTACAGCTCTCCCTAGTACAGTAACCTACCTGGATGATCTGGGTTCAAGTCCTCAACAGCAATCTGAACCACATCTGCTAAATCCTGCTCTGTCATCATTCAGAAACAGGCAGCAGAGCTGAATCGAAGGAGATCCCTTAGTTCATGCAGTTCTGATTCTGAAACACATCAGGAAGGCAAAAGCATGGTCACCCAGAGGCTGCTCAGGTATCACATATCACACCAGAGGTAAGATCATGTTCAAACCATATTCATACAGAAATTCTTTTTTTTTTAACATCAATCAATTATAAATTTTGACTCATTTTAAAAGAAAATATCCACTGAGCTTTCATGACGCAGATTTTGTAACAACCCTTTTGGCACAGCTCATGGCCATGAAATGCTATTGTCTGAATTCCACGTCCCACTTCTAGGTGCGCCATCAAAAAGGAAAGTGCCAATCCAGCAGAGCCAGCTCTCCCGCTTGTCTCTTTCCCAACAAGCCAGGGAGCTGCATCCTGATCAATAAGGGCACGATAAGCCAAGCCCCCCCCCCCCCTTGGTCAGCTCTGTCACAACTGGGGCTACGGATGACACCAGCCAGGGGGCTGGAGCATGAATGCAACTCCCCACCCTCCCCACCCTCTTCTTTTTTACTGATATGGGCACAATCTAGACCACATTAAGGGCTTTCACTTTTCCACTTTTTTCACTGAGAATTAAACTGATCCACAGGACACGGCAGTGCTTGAACCTTGCTACACGGTGCCCTCTGGCTCTTAGCATCTTAATTCAAGCTGAACTTGTCAATTCATGAAGAGACTTCCTAGCAAGAGAATCAAACTCACTCTCACTCTTGCTCATTCCTGCAAACATATGAGAATGCAGGCCTGGGAGCAAAGCAGCTTTATAGGTGCTTTTTGTCAGTGCAAAATAAGATTTGGAAGCGCTTCTGGTCTGAACCCAAATCCGGTTTCTCTCGTCGGTCTCCAGAGTTTCCACAATCCAGCTCCTGCAAGATTCCGTTGCAGTCCCAGCCCTTGGCTCCAGGTCCACAGCCAAAGATTTTTCAACACTGTCCCCCTGGAATTCCCTGTCAGGGATGGTTAGAGCTCTTATTAAGGGAAATCTCCAGCCTCCAAAAGCCAAATTAAAATCACTGGAGCAATTCACAGCTGCATTTCCCACTGTTACAGAGCAGTGGCGGGAGGGGGGGCAGGGGAACAGAGGAAGCACAGGGACAGGCAAGGGGAATTCTCACTACCTGGAGCAAGGATGATTACCAGGACGAATCTGGTTTGCCAGTGGGAGTGGCAGTTCAACCAGAAGCCAAGCCACCTTTGCACAGTTGCTGCCCCTTTCTCTTCCTCAGCCTAAAGTCAGGGCGGTCATCAGAGCAGACAGGTGCAGCCCAGGGAAGAGGAATCCACCTCACAGCATCACTCAAGCCTCTGGACCAGCCAAGGCAGCAGCTGCTCACTCATCCCCACCCCACCACATACCAAACACACACAGACACACACAGAGAGAGAGACGCACACACAGACACACACACACTCTAAAGTCTTCCAAATGAGGACACCACATGAGCTGTTTACTCAAAACATTTCCGCTGCCAGGAGAGATTCATTTGAATTTCGGACTGCCATGAAAACTACCATGGCTGCATTCACTGGGGCAGGATGCCCAGGCATCTGGCGGGAGACTTAGGGCATGTGGCTGCCATTTCTAGCCTGTTGGCAAATTAAGTTTGCCATTTCTCAGAAGTCCTGGGAACTGGCCAGCCTTAACATAATAAAACAGCTGTGCTAGGATTACTGTTTCATAATGTCACTGACTGCAGACACTCTTGGAAGCCCGGCCCTGCACTGAAGGGTGCTTCCAATCCATCCTTTTTAAAAAACGGACAAAGCCCAATCAAAATCTCCTTTGTTTCCTATCAAAATGGCACACAACTGAAAGCAATACAATCTTTCTTCTTCTTTTTAAAATGTTGGTACCAGCACTTGTATTTTACAATCCCCAGAGCCAGAGGCTGAGAGCTCAGTCCACCACTGTGCCTCCCAGGAGAAGAACCCACCGATGTGACCGTGGGCAAGCTGCTGCACAGCAGTCCTAGGGCTACTTCTCCCCTTCCCAGAAGGAGCGAAGGGGAAATGATGTCTACGTATCCTCTACCTTGGAAAGGGTCAGAATTGACTTGACAGCATGCAATTATTAATTCAGATGTTGTTATTATTATTATTATTATTATTATTATTATTAAAAAACATCAGGCACAGTCAAGCTAAACTATAAAAACATTGACTGGTATTATATAACAGATACAAGTTTTAACCAAAATCCTAAGCATCTGTTAAATTTTGGTGCAGTATGTACACTGTTCCTAATATTGCCATTTTTTGGTAGCTCTGATGGTATTATTTCTGAGATCTGCAAATGCTTATAGTACTCTGTGAAATGTCTTGATATTGTTCCCAAAGCCCAGATGATTACTGGGACCGCTGAAGTGTGTTTCATCCACAAGCGAGATATTTCGATGGCCAGGTCACCTCCGGACCTGGCATCTGTTAAATATCGGCGCAATATGCATGCTGTTCATAATATTGCTCGGTTTTTTGTAGCTCTGATGTTGTTGTTTTTATTCCGTGCCTGCAGCAACTCAGGCTGATCAATGGGAGGAACGATTCACCTAATCTCCTGGCCGAAGCAGAGGTAAGAATTTTATCACTGAGAATCGATAGAGGCAGGTAACTCCCCAGTAAAGCTGGATCTTTATCAGATTCTGGAATCCACGCTGCATCCTGCCAAGGGAGAGGAATTCTGTCACGTCTTCTCCATTTCCTTTTACTGACACGAAGGAAGCCCTCTGAGGAACCTGCATCGCAAAGTTTGATTCTGAACTCGTTGGCAAAATCAGCTGGCTCTCCAGACCTTTTGCTGGGGCTGGGGCTGCTGAGCTTCCCCACGCCAGATACCTTCTGTATCTTCTCCTGTGGATGTGGAATCTTTTGGATTCATCATTTCTGGCGAATGTTTGGGGATTTTGCATTTCTCCCCCTATTCAGGAGGGCATGCACGGCTCACAAGAAAATAGGAAAAGCTCCAAAACCCAAAAAACGATCAGAATTGTCCAGACTCCCCCATCCCACAAAAGAAACCAAATACCCTCAGGCAGACAACACCCAGGGCTTGAGCGGCAACCGTCCAGGCTTGTAAATAAGCCCACAAATGTTACCTGCCCGGCAGAGGAGGAGGAGGAGGACTTACTGTCAGTCCAACTGGTCCTCGGCCATCTTGGCTGGTTAGGGTCACGCACTAAGCCAGTTCAATGGTATTTACTTCTGAGGGAATACGGCCCATGTAACAAAATCTAGAAGTCGTCTGCGAATGCTCCTGCCATTAGCAAAACTAGGGTTTGCTGTTGTTGTCGAGGAGCCAAGAAGCGTGAAAACTGTCCACCTTCTTCTCACCTGCCATCCTTCTTGACTAAGACGGATCTTCCACATCCTACAGGGCAGGCTCACAGACATGGGATGATGGCATCTAGGAATCTGCATTGATTTCCCAGCCCTAAGCAGAACTAGTTTCCTCCCACAATCCAGTCTGTTTTACAGACATCATTATCCAAACATTTGTAACAGATAAAACTGAAAAATTTCCTAACAGTTTCATCCAAGAATTTCAACATCTTAATCCAAAAATCTGTATGTATGTGTGAACCTTGTCACAATTCTAAAACATATAAAACACAGTAAAACTAGCTAACTGGAGGCATCTGTCACGACACCGGGAAGTTTTTTCCAGTAATTAAATTATATTTACTTGAAGGGTCATTCTTGGCTCTCCAGAGTCGCTGGATTGCCTTCTGAACCATTTTCTTCCCCCTCACATGTCTGTGGTTCTCTAGTAATACACGGCACCAGAACGCATCATTGCGAGGATTATTTTTTGAAAAGCCTGTGGACAAGCCAATTCAAACTGAGAGAAATATATAACCAGTTGTCATGGTTATTTCATGCATCATTTTTCCTTTCTCAGGCACCAAACAGCAGCCAAGCCTTCCCGCCTTTCGTAGCCCACGGTGACATGAGGGGTTAACAACGCCCTTGTAAACGCTCACCTCTGTGATCCGTTCGAACATTAAGGGGCCTAGACTTGGCTCACCTCATCACACTGGTTGGCAGCTGGTTCTTAGTCCTTTTCTGCTAGCCCGTTGCTCCCTAACCAATTACATCATATGTCAAAAACTGTAACACGGATTAATCAGAATAACATAATAAAAAGCAGGCCTTTTGGAAGGGAAGGTCAACTGTGCTGTACACCAGAGACCTGGCAATTCTCCACAGGCTTTTCTGTGCCACTTTTAAGACGAGAATCAATCAAGGTGCACCTCAAAAGGGTTCCAATTTCGTGCTGCATTGAAAGCTACAAAGCATGTCTACGTGTGTTCAAAGTTGCTCCCCTTGTTATGTTTCTACTCTTCTTCCTGCCTCCAAGGCTCTTTTAAAATTATTCCCATCAACAACAGAGAGAGAGAGAGAGAAAACCATAGGCACCCAAGAACTGAACATGAGGAATTCTGTACGCAAGAAATGTTTGTATCTTCTACTCTGACCATATATTTTCTCCTGGCAATTTGGTACTAAACAGCGGGTACTTTTATCATCAGACTCTGAAACATTCTTCCAGCTCCGATTTGCAAACACTACATTCTTATTGCTGTTAAACCAATCAATCTAAGACACTAACCAGTATTTTGAAAATTGCATAACACAAGAGTATCATGCACTGTGCATTCCTAAGCCTATACAGTGGGCCCTCGACTTACAAGCGGCCCTAGTTGCGAACATTTCGGGTTACGAACCCAATCTCATTGCAAGTAGCAGACCCTAGTTACAAACGCAGATTAAGTTATGAACCCAAAAGGCCAGGGAGAAAGGGCGGGAAATTCGAATTTCCTGCCATTCCTCCCTGCCTTTGGAGCTTTCAAAAGGCTTCCTCCAACATCGGAGGAAGCCCTTTGAAACCTCCGAAGCCAAAAAGGAGGCAGCCCCGGCAGCATCAGGTGAAAGGAGGGAGCCGATCCGTCGGCCGTCCGGCTTGCTTTTCCAAACGAGAAGCAAGCCTGGCGGCCAGGGAGAAATCAGCTCCCTCCTTTCACCCGATGCTGAGT